TGGTCTCCAACGGACCGCCGGGTCAAACGTCGGACGGGTGGTCGGAAATTAGCCTTCGTCGGAACTGGTACGCTAATTTTCGTCCGTAGCGGTAGTTATTTTTGTGTTGTGCGTTACAACTTTTTTATATATATATACATTTTTTTTATACGTGAGTGTCCGCTGTTTATTATGTAAATATTTTGTTTAATGGCGTCGGCTAAACCTGCCTCCAGCTTCTTGAGCCCTTAGGGGCTGGTAACGTATACGTTTAGTAGTTAATGTTTTGAGCCAGTTTTTTTTATTAGTGCGCCGTGCCATAAGCACGTGTGGCGAATTTTTTTTATATTTTGTTTATATAGTTTTTTTTTTTATTTTGGTCCCTCAACATGGCAGGCGTGTTCCAATACCACCTGTCATGTTATATATATTTTTTTATAGGTTATATGTTATATTTTATCGGGTGATGTATATATTATTGGTACAATGTGGTGACGTAGTGCATTTTATTCCGGGGTGTCCCAACGTCTTGCAAGCTAAGCCTACCTGCCAGAAACCAGTCGCTTACTTGGGACGTATACCCGCCGTGCTTAGCGGCAATGCTGCGATTAATAGCCGGCGGGTACCCGAAGACGTTCATCGTATTCTCTAACAATAAAAGTGTAGGTGTAACTTTTTTTTTTTATTAATATCTGTTATTTTTTTCTCTCTTTCTTTGTCCCCTTTAATTTGTAGACGAGGTTTTTTGACCATTCGGTTTTTTGCCTCGTGTTAACTTAATTTTTTTTTGTTTTTTTTTAATAAAGTCCCCTTAATTTAACTTAACCATCATCTGTTTCTTCTTTTTTGCGTGTTCCATCTTCAATGGACTCGTGTATTTTTTTTCTTCCTTTCAAAAATCAACTCCCCTAGTTTATAAGGTACGGGCAACGCCCTTGTATAAGGTCATCCCTGATCTATATGGTTATGTAACAACTGTCACGAGGTTTTGGTGTACATCTACTATCAACGACTCAACGGACATCAACTTTAATATTTATTAATTATATATTTTTTTCTAATTGTTTTAATATAAAAAAGTTAATTTTTTTTAAAAATCTACTGTGGTCCGACAATATACTGTCTCGCCCAGTAGGTTGGCGACCCTTTACTTATAACTTTGTAAAACGCCATGAAAGTTACAAATTTTTCGTTGCGGCCAATTAATTTGATTTTTATATATTTGTAACCTTTCAAATTTTACGTCGATAAACGGCTGTAGTGGTATCAAATGACGGCAGCCAATAAAATATTGAATGATGTTGCGTTATAGTCCACATGCGTATGGGTGGGGTCAACCTCTAAAGTGTGAAAGAAGCGTAAGGAAAGCGTATTGTTCAAAAATACACAACTAGTATAGATGAAAAATTTACTAGATATTATTAAATTGCCAAAAACCGAAATTATTTCGGTTCATAGCACTGGCCTTAAATTTGTTATTTATTATCTAAATAGGTCAAAAAAACGATTACATTTCCTTGATAAATTTGAAAAAATTACTTTTAGATCATACAAAGTTAAACGTGTAAGTTTGAAACAATTTTTCTAATTTTTCTAATGTTCATTGCATACATTTATATATTTTTAATCATATATTTATTCTTATCATTTTGTTATGAACATTTTCGATGTTTTTGTGCAATGTTTAATTCAATATAAAATCGAATAATGATTTATTATTATTAATAAGCAGATCAATAAAAATTTTTTATGATATCATGAAACCTTTGACAATTTATAGCTTTGGGTACTATTTCTATGTTTTTATTTTATATACATTTATGAGTATTTTGGTATGTATATTTCAAATTTATCGATTAAGTGAGTTTTATGATTTGTATTAACTGTTGATTAATATATTTACAGGCATATATAAAAAATGATTATGTTTTATCATTTACTTCAATGAAGTTAATATTTACAACATTAATGGGTTCTTTCAATTTGTTTATAATATGTTATTTTTATAATCATCTAGAAAATGAAGTAAGATAATTTTTTGTATAAAACAAATTTATTAGTATAGAATTATGACTGTATAATTGAAGTCATAATTTTAATTATGAATTGCAATTTAAAATACAATACACCATAAGTTATATTAAAATATACAATTTTACAGTAGTCAGTAATTTTTAGTTACGTTTTGATTTAAAATTGATATAAATATTTAATTTTTGAAGTGTTAAGATATTTATAAAAACAAAACTATTAAGAACATATAAAAATTTTGTATTTGTGCTGTTATAAAATCTGATTATCATGAAAAACCACGTTGCTTAAAAACATTTAAATACTTTTGAGTGACAAGTGTTTTACAAGTTAAACATTTTATAAGTTTATTATTATACAGAGTAATTTTTTTATCATAACTAACTCAATTACTTACAAAATATAAAAAATTATTACATTTTAGCTTCGATACAAAGCTGATAAGGTATTGGTTATACTATAATGAGTTTTTTTTTTCGTGTCTGTTACCACTTTTTCTCAGCTCTCACCGAATCTTTTTAAAAAAAATACTAAATCAATTTTTTTTTTATAGATACAAAAAGTATTTACCTATCATTTGGTATATGTTATTTTATAAATATGCCCCTTTACATGACCACAAGAGGGATTTAAAATGATAACTTTTTTACAAAAAATTTTCTTTTGAAAGTGTCCCGGAAAGTTTGACATTATTATATATATCATAAATTAAAGCTAATGTAATATATTTTATCATGGAAAAAAAATTCGTATATTATTTTGTTTTAACAATAAAAATATTATCCAATGGTATTTTAGTGTGAAAATTATCGATTTTATATTTTACATTTTAAACTTTATAATGCTATAACTTATTGAAAAGTGTAATTTTTTATGAAAAATAATATTTATATCCCTTTTTCATTCGACATACTTTATCTTATTATTTATCTTATATCAGGATATAAATAAGAAAATAGCAGATCATGTAGCCTTTGGAATAATCCACTAATTTTTTTAAATTAAACACTATCTAAATATTAGTATTGAATTATTTCTTATGATAGTGATTTTAATCACTGTTAGATATCATCTATACTTGTTTCATCTATGGCACGTCTACAATGTGCAACCTTTTTTTCAAATGGTTGCACATATTTTGAATTTAATAAAATTTGTCTGTATAAGCTCTCCATTTAGCTGTCCATTTAGCCAAACTTACCAAATTCATTACCCGTCGTCCAACCATCAATATTCCTTCATCCGACTTCGTTTCATTCCTTAATAAGACGATATATCTAGCATGGCAAGAATATTGGTCTTCTACTTTCTCTCTCATCGCAGATTGGCACAAATCAATTTCACCAACTATTCCAAATCATCCTTGGTTCCATAAACTTCCTCTCTCCCGGTTCTCAGGACAGCCTCAAGAGAAGCCTATTTGTACACCTAACAAATCCGTTGAACGAAACCTTGTCTACGTCCATTCGTGGTTAGCATCATTACCACCAATCGTTCCCGACTCCTCTATTGGGGTTTACTGACAATTTGAGGAGGATTATGTGACCTACTGAAACAGGAGAAACGTAAATTAATACATTGACTGATACATGATGAATCAGTCAATATAACTAATCGTGTTATTACGTCAGCAACAGTGAAACAGTCAATTGTTGACAGTCACACTGTTTCATAATAATATATTATGAAATACCAATGACGCAAATGTTGAACAAAAATCAAGAAAGTGCACTAGAATAATTAAAAAGGTAAGTCCAAAAACATTTTGATTTTTACAAATCACAGAATAAAATAGTAAACAAATATAATGGTAACATGTCCAGCAAAAAAAGAAAATGTGACATTCGCCAATTGTGAGAAATACAGTCACGAACAAACGTCTGCATATGTATAAAAAATGATGCAGACGAGACAAGATGTCAGCTTTGTCAGAGCAAAAACCTCACAGCAAAAAATTGCAACACAAAAACTAATTTATAGGCTAAACGTTTACGCTGAGGACAGACATTCACCTTCAACCTTTGGAAAATCAAAAAATATAAAATCACATCATTGAAAATTTCAAGAATGAAGTCGTTAAAAGCAAAAAAAAAATGATTGCACGCTGTGGGAGAACTAGTGATAAATAAAATGATAGTCGACACAATTTAATTATATATCAGAAAATCAGCGCTGAGCCGTTTATTTGAGCAAGAAACAATATAATACAGCAATTACAAATAACTTGCAGAATAACTAGAGACTAATAGAATTAAAAAATAGAAAGCAAATAAGCAGAAGATGCATTGATGATGGAAGAAAACGGTGCGATGAGTTCGGCGTTTTTACACGATGCGTCTCGGGCGATGTCACGAAAATGACTTACTTCACGTATTATTGCGGCGGTTATTCGACGTTAGGCATTTATTGGACTTAACACCACGACCATAACGCGTGTGTAACGGTCCGGTTTACAGTGGAGCGGTGGCTGAGAAGAAGCTGACAGGACCGTGGGGTGTCAACGGGTGACAACGCTGTGGCCGTGTCAACACAATCTAAAAGTCAATATTTATTTATTTATGATGTACAATGCAAAAGCATTGCACATAATAGCCACATTAAACAAAAGATAAATAATAGTATAGATACAAGGGCAAATCTAAATATAATAAACGTGGAATTCACTAAAAATACAACTTTCCGCTTCTACAGCTTCAACATTTATTTAGAGCGTTAGAAAACTAAAAATTCTTCTCAAGGTTAGATCTTAATAATAACTTTTTTCAAATCACTATAATAAAGCAATGTCAACATTTACTTTTATTTACAAGTGCATGTGACTTAATGACGATTCGATGATTTCCTATTTGTTTTCGCAACAGTTCAGCAGTATTTAGAAAAAAAGTTAACAATGTTTTTTCAGAATTCTTAAAATAATCATTTATGATTTATAATGATGATTAAGCATATTTCGGAAGCTTTGGAAAATATCGAAAAAGTATTTAAAATTATACTCAAAATAAAAACAGCTAAATACACATTATTCTAAAAAAAGACCTATAAGGCTTTCGGATAACACGCAATGGCATAAAACCGTTAAGCCATAGTGGACTTTCCGCACTCCAAAACGATAAAGATGTTATTTTTGTGACTTAGCTCTTTATACAGTAAGTACATAAAATCGTTCCATAGAACGCCAGTTACCTTACAAAATTAACAAAATAAAAAAAAAACGAGAATATTAATTGACAATAAAAACATACTGATGCAAACGAACAGTTGAAAACTCTTTTAATATCAATACCTATTCTAGCACACTTTAACGATGATACACCAACGAGCTCGCTCGTAGACACAAACATTTGGAGACTAGGTGAAGTTCTAGAACAGACAGATGAAAACAATATTTGCAGAGTCATAGGATATGTCTATTGTAAGTTGTTAAAATAGGGAAAACTCTACAGCACTACTTTATTAGAACTTCTAGATTTGACCTATACAATTGAATTTTTCAGAGAGTACCTTTAAGCCAGACATTATGATGTATAGCGATAGCACTAGCTTAAAATACTACTGTAGTCTAAACGGTCTGTCTGACTAATCCCGCCTAATCTTTAAACTTTGAATTTACGACTTCAAAATAGTAAATACTAGAGAGCGAGATAATGTGGTGGTGGATGCGTTCTTAATTAATGTTTGGAATACTTAATAAACTCAGTGACATTTGAATAAGAGGGGGGCCCATAACAGGTTACTTCAGTCAATGTATTAATAATATTCAAATATTATCATCCACAAAAGAGAACGGATTTTCAATATATACAGAGTGGTCCAGCATTTTCCGACAACTCAAATAACTTTTGATCTAGTTGATATTTTTCATTAATTTTTATTAAGAACAGTTATACGTTAATTGTATAATTATATCTCAATAATTTATATTTTTACATTTTATTAAAAATATTAATTATTTTTAAATTTTAAATAAAATGTATAGATATTTTGTTGAGTAGATTTTAAGAAAAATTTTGGAAAAAAAATATCTTATTAAAGTTCAGTAGTTAATAGACGATATCACTTTAAAATTTGTGAAAATTTGAATTTTCATGTATTATTTTACGATATTAAACATTGAAAACGTGTTGACACAAGGACAGAAGAAAAGTAAGATAAGTAGTTTTATCTCTAAAGAGATAAAACTATTTATTAAATAGGTATAGTTCATGTTTTTATTTGAACAAAAGCCAGTAAATGGAATGTTAATAATTTTGATGGAAAAATTCATACTCATAATACATTTAGTGTGGAAAGATTGTGTTTACTTTTTTTTTTATATAAAACATAGGTAGCGTTTGATACTGTAGAATAAATAATGAAAAATTGAAATTATTACAACATTTAAAACGTTACAGAAAATTAACGACCAAACATTAATGAGGATTTTTTCCACCAAATTATTTTTTTAAATGTATACTAAAAAATTGCTATTTTGAATTTTTTTAATCATTTTTTGTCAATTTTTTTTCTTTAATCATAAAAATTATATTAATTACATTATTATTATAGCCCTCAAGTATATAAAAAAAAATATCAAAAAAATTAACCGAATCAAAATTATTTAAGTCAGTGAATGCTGTGCCATTCTGTATATAGTAATGGAAATAATTACATAATAGTAGCTCCTGGCAACATGACCAAATACATTTTCATTAAAGCAGTTCGCATTGAAAACGGCAAGTCTGTCATAAAATTCTTATTTGAGTTAGTCATCAAATGGGGTTAATCTCGATCTATAACAAATGATCAAACTGCTTCAAAAGCAAGAAACTGACATAATATGTCGCAACATAGGTATCAATCAGATGGTCAGTTCACTATGTGCAGCTCTAAAACATTATATGTAAGACAAAAATTAGAAAAGAAGATCACACTACTTATAAACCTTCACAGCCTTTACAAAACAAGATAATTCCTCAGCTCCTCTCTCATTTGATCTAAGAAAATTACACAATGTTAAAATGAAACAACAGAATTAATAGCAAAAACTCAAAAAAAAAACGCAGAAAATTAACTACGATTCATTACAAATATTTAGAATACAAACAAGGTAAATTAGATTTAATCATATTTCCCTTTACAGTTAAAAATCAATGTGAAAATTAGGCTACCAATATTTATATTTGAACTACGAAGTTGAAAAAATTCTAGACAATACTTTTGTTTAGGATACACTGTAAATGACTTAAGCTGTACACAAATACGAAATAGAATCAATTAAAAATTAGGCTTATTTAGATCTCCAATTTAGATTCAACCATTAAGGAATACACTAACCCACGTGGTAAACATAGACGATCTCCGGACTAATGGGGTGATTAACTGTGTAAAATACAAAGAAAATATAAACTGCAGAAAATTAAAACTATTTGATGAACCAGAAAGAATGGATTCATGGTATGATGATAATTATATTAATAGATATTTCAGAATCATTAAAAACGTACATTAAAATATAGTCGTCGTCAATAAAATAATTTTATATTTAATATACACCAGTACGAACTGTACCCACCTACATAATGTATTAAAATTCTTGCAACTCAATAAGTAAAAAGTAAAAATCTAAAAAATAAAAAAAAAACTGTATTTTTTTATTAAATAATAGGATATCAAAAATATACTATTTAACGTAGTACAAATCTATGAAAATTATTAAAATAAAAAAGTACCTTAAAATATTCACTGAATAAAATGTCATTAAAGATATTAAAAATTGTTGGGACTTAACATATATGTCCATATCTATATTCATGTTTATATGAATAAAGACATAAATATGGATATGTTTCAATATATAAAATTTAGAATAAATAACTATAGAGGGCCGTATGTGAGATTTTGGCAGGGGTGTCCATATGAATTTTTTTATACATTATATTCGACATTTTTTTTAGATAAATAGAGTACAGTTTGTTTTGTATAATATTGATTGGACTGGAAAAAGTATAGCATTTAAAAAAATGTTATTGTTGACTATGAATTTAAATAACACGAGCAGATTAAGGATGAATATTACTCCACAAAAATCATTGAATTTAGAAGTATTTGGCTCAGTATGTTTTTCTTTTTAATAAAACACTGAAATTATGTTATGTTATCATAATTAAATATAAAAAAATCCTTAAATATTGTGTGGCTTTTAAAATAATTGATTTTAGGCGATGCGTATGTCATATTCAATAATTTCACTCTTCGCAAAGAAAACAAATTCAAAATGAGCAGATTGGAGCAAATAAAAATTTATTTTAAAAATTTTGTGTGCTTTACAATATAATTTAATTTTAAATTTAGTTCATTTTATGTTAAATTTTTCATCCACACATATATTCCTTAATTTTTGAACACTCTTTAAATGGAGTCGTTAAAAACTTTAATAGTAATCTGGCAATTTGTTTTTTATTGCATGACTGTATAATTTAAAACGCTACCGAGCGGGTCAGAATGTAGACTTTCTAGATTTTCAATGATTTAATTAATAAAATGCCTGATCAATAACTTCTTATAAAAACTGTAATAACTTGTCCTAAAGTTATTATCAACCAATCATTTTTTTTTAATTAGATAGAATTATCTATAAAAATAAGCTCATTAATTAAGAGTATTGTCATTTGAGAAATAAAATTTGACAGCCTTATACGGTATGAAAATAAATAACTTTATGATTGAAAAATTGAGAAAAACATTGAACTAATTGAAATAAATAACAAAATTATTAAGAATATTTTTATTTTACTACCTTAAAAGAGTCCGGAGGGTTTGGGGGGCTGGTCAGGCAGCCTTAATTACATCCGCAGACTGTCTGCAGATTATTTTCCTGTATGTATACATGAAGTACTTTGTTGTCGAAAATTAATGTATTGATGTTTAAAATGCATTAATTACTCTAAAATTTATCCAGACCTGCATTTTTTTTATAAGAATTTAAATAATTAAATTATTTACATAATTTTGGTGAACCATTTAATTAAAAAACGCAATGCATTTTTAAAAGGAACGAACAGTTGCCGAATCGGTAACACTTGTAGCTTTCATGCTTACGGTACGAGGTTCAAATCCATCTGTGCCCATTAATATTTTGCATTTTTTTTGAGTTTGAATAAAATTTTGAAATCATTTGATATTTATCTCATTTATATTCAATAACTTCAATAAATATAAAGGATCCTATCACTATAGTCTCCCCTCGTGAGAAGACATTTTTTATTCATGTTAATATTATTTTACTATGTGTTTTTTTTTTTTTTTTTGGGGCTACGATTTATTTTCCCAATCCTGACTTAACATGTTGCTATATAAATCATAAATCTAAAAAACCCAGCACAGTGGGATCGCGGCACAGTGGGGACGTGGCATAGTTGGGTCCAGTATAGATTTAATCTGACAGTGTGTAGTATAATTATTAACACATGTACTAAATATTACATATATATATATGAATAAAGCAAAAAATCATCTAAGGAATGTTTCCCTTTTAGGGAAATAAAAATAACTATTTATCAACATATGTTTCAAACCAGTCCCCTACAATTCATTAACTACGCCCACAGCAGGGTTTCTATCACAATTAACTAATCACAAATAATTATCCAAAATCTTAGGAATTTCAATAGAGATCGCTGGCTTACTTCATCCGGCATATAAAAAGCCATTTTTCTCGTAAATAAAGAGACGACGACTAAAACGATTAGGACGAGGACGACGACGACTGCTCTCTCCTCTCTTGTGGCTCTGCTCTCGTTCTCTCAATATTCTCTTACATGGAATCTGCGTCAGTATAAGTAAGTATTTTGTCCCTGTGACTTAGTTTTTTTTTTTTATGTATCATCTTAAGTGGTGAACATTGTCTTAGATGATTTATTAATATTTTACCAGGAACAAGTTTATATTTATTTTTATTATCACCTAATGTTCTCACGACAAATAGATATTATCTCTATTTTTTATATAAAGGTTTTATGTATTATTGTATCCTTCATGTCTGGACAGCCTTAAATGTGCCGAAAAGAGTGAAGAAGTATAATTTTATTTATACAGGCATAATAGCCTTATACATTATCGTATATTCATAATAAAGCTTATTGTGCTCTATATTTATGAGCAGCCATAAATGTGCCGAACTAAATGAAGAAGCATAATTTGCGATTAGAATTAATTAGTTTTAGTAGTAGTACTTTATGCCTGTGTACCCACCAGCCCTAAGGGACTATGCCAAATTACTTCTCGGTAACGTGTAGGCAGTTGAGGTACAGAATAGTATTAAACTTATAAAAAGTACCTTATAAACTAAGAGAAGATGATTTTTGAAAGGAAAAAAATACACGAGTCCATTGAAGATGGAACACGCAAAAAAAAAAAGAAAAATATGATGGTTAAGTTAAATTAAGGGGACTTAATTAAGTAAAAAAAAAAAAAACAAAAAAAATTAAGTTACTACGAGGCAAAAAAACCGAATGGTCAAAAAACCTCGTCTACAAATTAAAGGGGACAAAGAAAGAGAAAAAAAAACAGATATTAATAAAAAAAATACTAGTTACACCTACACTTTTATTGTTAGAGAATACGATGAACGTCTTCGGGTACCCGCCGGCTATTAATCGCGGCATTGCCGCTAAGCACGACGGGTATACGTCCCAAGTAAGCGACTTGTTTTAGGCAGTTAGACTTAGCTTGCAAGACGTTGGGACACCTCGGAATGAAATGCACTACGTCACCACATTGTACCAATAATATATACATATCACCCATAAAATAGAATATAAAACCTATAAAAAAAATCACAAAAAAATATGGATATACATGACAGGTGGTCTTGTAACACGCCTGCCATGTTGCGGGACCTAAATAAAAAAATAAGGGCACCTAAAAAACATGTAATAGAAAAAACTCGCTACACGTGCTTATGGCACGACGCACTAATAAAAAAAACTGGCTCAAAACATTAATAACAAAAATATACAGTACCAGCCCCGAAGGGCTACAGAAAATGAAGGCAGGAATAGCCGACGCCATAAATTAAAAAAAACACACTCAAAAAATAGCGGACACTCACGAAAAAATATATTAATAAATTTAAAATGTTGCAGAGCACACAACAACAAAAAACTCACGCTACGGACGAAAATTAGCGACAACCAGTTCCGATGATGGCTAATTTCCGACAAAACGTCCGGCGTTCGACCCGGCGGTCCGTTGGCGACAACACGGCTAGCCTTTAGAGTAGGAGTCAAAAAAAACTTAATGTCAGTGCCGGAAATTATTAAGAACAATTTAAATCATATGGCGACAATGTATGCGGTGAGTAGTGCAAATGACGTTCAAGATAGGAAAGGAGCGGGGTGTATGTACACACAAATGCCGTCCATGAACCGGTCTGAAGTAGTACACAGCTGACTATCTCGCGCGCGCACAAACTGATAAACGCTGTCGCAGTACGCATTCGGCTCAACACAAATATATATATATTTATTTGTATATATATACATATATACAAATAAACAAAAAAAAATAAATAGATATTTTTTGTCACGTTACATATTCTGATTTTTAATTTATTATTTGTATATATCAGAGCCATTGTGGCATTAGTATTAAGTGTCCCCTTATCCACATTGGTATATATATAAGATTTTATGATTCATGTATAACACATTTAAATGTTATGTGGTTTGAAAATTCATTATCCATTGATTCATACAGTCTACTTACCTTATTACTTTTCCTCGGCATAGTCTGACTTAAAACAAAATAAAACATTAACGAATGTATAGAACTCGCGTGAGAACCACCGGGTAATGCGTTCATTCATAAGTTAAATAAAAATAAAGGTGCTCAAAAGGAGATTACAAATCCAAAAATTTGTTCCCTACATATAAATTTTTTTATTAAAAAAATTTTAAATTAATTTCATAAATATTTATTTTTATAGTTAGAAATATAAATAATTAATAAAAAAAATCAGAATAGAATTATCTATTAATTAACCATATTTTGATTAATATGTATACCAGTATAAAAAACTTAATTGAACAATACTAATACATTATGTTGTATCCAAAAAATAGTTATGAATGTAATAATTTCAAAAAAAAATATGTTTGATTAATCTTCATTCATTAAGTATAATATAGATGAAATTTAAACTTTATTATTTGTAGTATGTATAATTAAATAATATTGTTAAAAAACTAAACATTTTTATTCCTTGGTAACTTGGAATGAGTACTTATAATCAAATAGTTAGAAGCAACATTTTATGTAAATCACCAGTATAAACTAAATAAAGCTAACCAAATAATCATCGTGTATAGATTAATTTATTAATAGATTTAAAGATAAGAACAATAATTTAATGTATTTAAAAACGTTTTTACATCAATAATTTTAGTATAAACAATGAAAATAATAGACATGTAACAAAATTTCATATAATAAAATTAATTTATTAAAAAAAAACGAATCAGCCATACAATTAAGTAATTCAGTTTAAGAAGTTAAGCAAAATAAATAATAACAATGGTAATCAGTAAAATTATATTACACTTTGATATGAACTAACAAAATTTAATGATGAAAACATTAATTTTTACCTAATTTTTTGTTAAAATCTACTCTACAAAATGTCTATCTTGGAATTTGTATTTACATTTTTTAATAAATATTTTAATTTATTGTTCCAACCGGTAATTCCAGGGCGGCCGAAATCATGTCAACCGTGTAGAGAAAAAAAAAGTGTTTCAGCATTAAATACTGTTATAAAGTATATATATATATATATATAAATATAAAAGAGCACCTACATCTTATATCAGAATAATTCTAGTTAAATATGAGTATTATATTTCGATTATACAAATGTTATATTACACTTTGATAAAAAAAAATGTTTATATCCATTGCCAAAAATAAACTAAATGTATTTTATCAAAACCCGTATCCATATAATCAGTTTTGATAAAATCTCTACAATACATAATTAAATAATTCGTAATTAACTCATACTCAGTGACATGCGTTTCATCTAACCTTTTATTAATACAATTTACATTATCTTTAAATTTAATAATAATTTGTTCCTTAGTCGTTATCAAGCCATCTAAATAACAGCGATTCTTTGATTGATGTTTTAAACTTAATAGTAATTTGGCAAAATAAGATCTTGCATTTTCAAAACTAAAAATGTAATCAGTAGCTAATTTCTTAGTATTTACTTTAGGATTGTGTACGAACTTATCTCGTACGACATTGTGAGTTCTGAGCTCAATTACGTAATTATATATCCAATTATGAGTTGAATATAAATCTGAGAATGATTTATTGGGTTGCCAAATTGATGATAGTTTTAATTTTTCTATAATTGTCAGCATAAAGTCGAACATTTTCGCTGTATCATTAATTGCGTCAAAAAGACTTGTTACACATTTTACATAATTATTTTCGTCTTTTAAAGTTGTACACACTTGTTTTAAAGCACTTAACAATGTATTGTAATTTAAAAGTACTTCAAAAAATTTACACCTTATCATTTGTGTGAAGTAATCTTTTTTAAGATAAAAATTAAGATCTGTCGCCAGGTCTCTTATCACATGTTTGGCACTTATTTTTAAACCATCATATTGTATATATATGTGGCTAAATGATTTCCAACTACCATTATCCAATAAAGTATTGAGTTTTGCTATTCCAAGTTCTTGATTAACAGTGTAGTCTCTAGGAGGTTTAAATCTGTACAAATATTGAAAAAGATAAATTAAATAATTTTGATTAGCTAATATTACGATTATATACAGTATATTTTATTTAGAATACTATGCCCTATGAACCTTTAAGGGCTACTACGGATACAATTTGTTTATCATGTAAAAATTAGGGTATTGTTAAAGATGTTTTTAGACGAATTTTTTAAACATTGTTATATTAAATTTTGTAATTACACATTTTTATATTTTTAATATTTTTGAACAATATATAAAATTATTGTTAAAGTATTTGATTAATTGAAAATAATAAGGATTTCTGTTTTTTTTTTTTGTTTTAACAGACAATTTTTCATAGTAGACAATCGTTGGGACAATTTTTTTTCTTTTACATTTTATTTGATTTCAACAGATCTTATTTCATATAAGTTCAAAGGTCGCAGCTGCTCTATAACATATTTAAAAATTGATTTAAAAAGAAATGTTTACATATGAAGGTGGTCTATTTCAAATAATTCCTGTAATTTTATTTTTCATTTGATTTGTATAAAAATCATACCTTATTAAAATTTATAAGTATACGTAAATATATAAGTATAGTTATTTCATAACTTTGTGCAAAAACCCAATTATTAATGAGATCAAAAAATATAATTGTTTTAATGTAATGCAACGTTTCTACATATAATTATTATAAAGAAACTTATGTCCATTTATTAAAATAATAAGAAAATAAAAAAAAACATTGCTAGATACACATCGGTCGAATGTACTGTTGAAGAGTTGTTATCGACATCATCTTTGCACGTTTTAGCTATAAACTCTATGGCACTTGCGAGACCATAGTTTGATATTTGTTTGTTGTAAAAAGTGAAATATCAATTATTCGATTGTCGCACCTTGTGCGTTTTCAGTGTACCGCCTTTGAGTTGGTTTTCTGAGATACATCACAGTACCGTTCATATAAAACACGTTAGTTAGTAATTGCATTCGACTTGAATTGATCATTCAATATAAAATGGATGAATGTATTGGTTCTCACGCGAGTTCTATACATTCGTTAATGTTTTATTTTGTTTTAAGTCAGACTATGCCGAGGAAAAGTAATAAGGTAAGTAGACTGTATGAATCAATGGATAATGAATTTTCAAACCACATAACATTTAAATGTGTTATACATGAATCATAAAATCTTATATATATACCAATGTGGATAAGGGGACACTTAATACTAATGCCACACTGGCTCTGATATATACAAATAATAAATTAAAAATGAGAATAAATCTTAAAATGAAGATGAACAAGCATTATAGTTATCGGCTAATTGTATCGGCTGATGATAATGATGAAAATTGAATGGATTAATTAAAGTCGAATGCATTTAGTTGACCAAATTGTACTGTATGCCGTGCACGGTACTACGATTTATCTTAGAAAATATATAGACCTAAAGGCGAAATATTGAGAACGCATAAGTGTTATTTCACTCTTTACAACAAACAAATACAAAAATATGGACTCACAAGCGCCTCTGAGTTTATATCTAATACGCGCAAAAGACGAAGGTGACAATGCAGACATGGAGAAAAATACGAAATGAACTCAGTGTAACATAACGGTAGAATAAGTAATCACAAAACACAATTCCTTGACAGCACATTCTACTGATGTGTATCAAATAAACATTACAAACTTTAAAAATAAGAAAGAACAATGATTGTTTTATATTTTTTATAAATAATTTTTTTTTTTTAATGTATTTAAAAATTATTTAATAAAATAATAATTTTAATGAAAAAATTCAATCTAATAATTAATACAAAATCCAGCATATTGGGGTCGTGGTACAGTGAAGACGCGGCATATTTGGATCCAGTATAGATTTAATTTGACAGTGATTCAAAATCATTATCGTAAGAAACGCTTCGATGCAAATCTGTAGATAGTGTTTAATCCTGAGTAATTGATGGATAAATGCAAAAGCAGCATCAATTGTTATTTCCTTAATTATATCCAGATTAGTAATTCTTAGAATTACTAATCTGCTCTCTCTTTTCGTAAGATTGCCATACAACGTTGAATTGACGATCTATTAATAATAAAATCATCAATGTTCTCCCCAAACGCTTCAACAACGGCAACAAGTTTGTGTACAGCAGCTCTATCGCTTATTTTACGACTGTCCATAACACAAATTAGTTTAGAAGAAATTATTTATCGTTTACCTTTCAGCTTTTTTGGTGGTGGCAATTCATAACTGTTATCAGTATCATCAGTATCGGTGTTCTCACTTAATGTAATGGATGCCATTGAAATTTCCAAATATAAAAATAATTTAAATCATAAGTAATATTTTTTTTAATGTAAACTTTTAGATAATTTTAATTTTAATTCAACATACCCTGTAATACGTTTATGCTTTCAGTTTCTATTTCTTCGTTATCATTATTATAGTTAATTTCATTAGAAATCCCATGCAAAAATCCTGGTCGCCCTTCTTCTCATTGACTTATCAAAAATAGTCTATCTTTATCTATTTTTATAAGGCTTAAAGCACCAGTATGTGCAATATCAAACAAGTTATTAAACTTTAATGTAAAAGCATCTACTTTTTCTTTGTAGCTAACTATAATTCGACCAGTGTGTCTTTGTAGAAGTCGCCACTCTTCATACAAACGTTCTATTTTTTCAACTCAATTTCTTTCCAACATAGTTGGGATCCGCGCCTTATCCCAAAAAATCATTACTTCGCGTATAACTAACAACGCACTTTGTCGAACACTTAATTTTACAACTCTTAAATTAAAAAACAATGTTTTCAACACTTGTAAATTAGATAGTAATTTACTACAAGTTATTTCGTGGGAATAATTAGCAATAGATAAATATTAGTTCGTAATACTTTAAAAGACATCTTTAAGAGCAATAATAGTGTACCTTTGTGACTAAAACTTATCATTTAATATGTAACAAACAGTTAAAATATGATTAATGATTATACGATTGGATTTATCTTAAAGCAATTCAGTACACCAAAATTGATACAGTAATACGACAAAATGTAATAATACAATAAATTTTGTTAGGTTTGTAATTAATCATTAATTAACTGTCCATAAAATAATAAATCTAATATAATTATCGTATTTGGCATAAAAAATTAAACTTTTAGAACCTTTTTTAAACGAATATGCGTTTTCCAAAAAATAAAATAAAAATAAATAAGTAAAAATCAACAAAATCCGTTAAAACATATTTTTAAGATTTTTTAATATTTTTAACTGTATGTAGTGTTCTTGTGGGCTATTTATTAAGAAAACTACATTGATGTTATTATTTTTCAAATTCTATTAAACTTTCCTTTATTTGAGTTTTACTTTCATAATTCTAAGTTAAGCAAAAAAAAGTTTTATATAAACAGTTTTCTTAATATAATTATTGTTTTAAGTGAAATAGAGTAGCAACTATTAAAAGAATTATTTTTCATACAATAATTTTTTTTATAATTTCTATATAAATATTACAATAGTAGATTATAAAATATCAAATCATACTAAATTTGAATACTATAGAAAGTATTCGTCTATTATATTTATTAGTTATAAAATTAATAATCAGAATATAAACTAAACTGTCAGATATTATTTATACTTGACTCAATTACGCCACGTAACCAATTTACCGTGGCCACATTTCATGACTTTTTTTATTAATATTTATTATTTTTCTAAATTATTCTTACTTTAATTCTGTTGGATTTATCAATTGAATAAATCCAAGATTTTCGTAATTATTCTTAATGGTTTCAACGTAAAACGAATCGATTTTATCAATCATAAAAGTAACAAAATTCGTGTAATCTTGGGTGTATGACGAAAATTCTTTTTCATATATAGATTTGATATCAACTTTTTGATTATTATTTATTATAGATGTATTATTTTCGAAAAAGTTATTTGCAATTTTAGATATATCATCAATGAACTCTTTAATATCCAGAAATTGTTGAAGATTACTATTCAAATTCTCATTCTGTTTTTCTTGTAAATATCTGTGATTTTTTATATCATAAATATTATCAACTGTAATGAATGGGTTACATTGTAACTCGGCAATGACAATTTTATATTTTCTTAAGATTAAAACTATATAACTTACAAATGTTATAGCATTGTATAAACTTTCAAACATTGTCAATGAATTTTTTATTGCTTTTCCAAGTAAAGATGAACAATTGTAAAAATCTTCTATTAATTCAGTGTTAAAATAGTGGAAACATATATCAACAACAATATTTAACAATTCCTTTAAATTTAAAAGAATTTCGTTATACCTATAATTTAAAATATGAATAATACTATAGAAAATACTATATCTGTCTAATTTTTGCGTCATTAATTCTGGAACACTAAAAGTTGCAACTGATTCAAAATTTAAGTAAAGTTTATCAAAAGACTTCCATCCATTTTGATTACACATATGATCTAATACTTCCTTTAAATAATTATTGTATAATGTGTGGTGAATTTTGCAATCTACAAATATAATATTACATTGGACTAATGAAATAGTTAAAATAACTAGCTTAAGATTCATGTCAAATAATGAAAGAACAAAGCATCAGTGTAAAAAATAAAATAAAATACTAAATTATTTTGATTACTCATATTATTATTTATACTTATAAACTCCATGTTTATTTTGGTGTTTTTGCAATTTAAACATTTTTTTAATATATTTATGCTAACAAATTACTAATTTATTAAACGTCAACAAACATGTGTCGCGGATGCGGTAAGCAACGACAAGTTTTTAGTTAAATAAAGTTAGAATAAATTTATTTTATATTCTGATTAATATTATATTATTATAATCAAAATTATTAGTAATAGTTTTGTAATAAAATCGAAAGAAATAGCTACAAGTCTCGTTTTTTTTAAATAACGTATATTACGTACATAGATACACACATACAAAGATAACCTATAATACTGTCAACCACAAACTAATCAGCAGCCGCCGGACTTGATTCGTATTTATGTCAATGCCGACGGTCGCCGATAAGCGATATGATATCTCGGATTTTGTTAATGAGCAGTTTAGGGAAACATAGCTATCCGACGTGCTGGATGTCTATTGCCTTCACAGACGAGTGGTGAAGATGGACCGGGCACGGACGTCGGCGCATTCGAGACGGGCTTGCTCAATGGTCGACGCCCGAGGTACCAGACCGGCACGTTTTCGCGAACGAAGCGGCCGAAGAGTTGGACCGGAGGGTGGAGAGTTGCGACTACGCCCTTCCGCCGACTCGCGGACTGCCAGTTCACTGGTGGAATGAGGAGGTGGTGGCCAGGCGTGAGGAGTGTTCCACTACCATCGCACATGTGCATCGTCTGCTACGCGTACGACACGTTGGTGGTAGCGAAAGGCGCCTCGTCCGAGGAAGCTGGATCCAACGCAGTCACCGCCTGGATCCAACAGTAAGGGAATGGACTGAGCCTCGCCTTGAACAAGACCGAAACGGTTTTGTTCAAGGGCAGGTACAAGCTCTTAATTAATTTCGGGCTGATTTACAACGTAGTGGAGTGAGTTTTAGAGACGGCGTGGGCCGTTCTAAAATAATACCTCACATTAGTTGCGTTTGGGACGCAAGGAATCATCCTCCTACAGTTCCGCCTCCACCGCCACACTATCCACTTCAAAAGTCAGACTCGAAGGTCCCACCCTTGCCAACCACCCTTAGATGCGCATCGCAATCTCTTCAATATAGAGAGTTTTGTTGACGCATCTGGGGAAGTAGCCGTCGTCCAGTCCGTTCCATTGTTCAAGCAAACCGATGCCAATACTCTCCCGGCTATTTAACCAGTGGGAGTGGCTTGGTCACTACCACTCCCTGCAGTCGCAGTACTAACCCCGTTGTTGGCTGCAGGAGCGTGCCTCAACACTCCTGCATTAGGTGCGTATTCAATTGATGACGACACCTGGTGGTTACGCCCCCCCCTCCCCGCAACTGTTGGCACTAAGGCATCCGAATCCCCTGATGCAGTAACTTTTACTCCGTTCTGTGCCATTGTCATTTGATTAATGATTTTGTGAAACTGCTTATTTCCCCGTTGCGCTGCACTACTGTGTCGGTTGGATCGGGCTCTGCGGGGCTTCGAAACGTCGGCACGAGCGCAGTCTCCCTAGCTCGGGGAATCGGAGGAACGGCCTGCAGATATGCAGGTTAGCCGCAAAATAAGCAGTCCATTCATTTGGACTGACGAATAAGCGGTCGCGTACAGCGAACCGCCTAGACGCTTGTTAACCCTGTAAATATACAGAATAGCCGTAAAATAAACCTTTATGGACGAATAAGCGGTAGCGTTTGGGTGAGAACGGAGAGTTATGGCAACGCAACCAGTGAAGTTAGCTGCTCACTGGCCAGAGGGACTGGCTATGAGGGCAACCCCCTTAAACCACATAATATTTATGAAAATGGAATCGAAAGGAGTCAAGGTTACTGCATCAGGGGATTTAGATGCCCCAGTGTCGGCGGTTGGTGGGGGGCGTACCCACCAGGTGTGGTCATCAATTACGCATTAAATTCAGGAGTGTTGAGTCAGGCTCCTGCAGCCAACCACGGGATTGGTACTATGACTGCAGGGAGTGGTGGTGACCAAGCTAGTCGCACCGGTGAATTAGCCGGGAGGATATTGGCAACGGATTGTGCGGAGATTGGACTAATTATGGTAGCGGCCACCTCTTTCGAAGCAACAGCGAAGCCCTCCATTTTGGAGAGGTTGCGTGGTGCTTCTAGGGGTGGTTTGGTAAGTGTGGGAAACAACTCGGGTTCGACATCTGTTGTTGTTGAGGTGGAGGATCTGGGGGAGGATGATTCCTTCCGTCCCAAAAGGAAGGAGATTTCTTCGACCCTCGACCCCGTCACTATCACACTGGGGGTTACAACGCCCAGCGCTGCGGTCCCCATGCCGGTAACCAAACAAGACGCCTCGTCCCAGACGGTCTTTTGGTGGGACACCTATGAACCACCACCCAGAGCCGTCGGGAACACGGAGTCCCCCCTCCAAGTCGTCGAGGAGTCTGAGGGCGTACTCTCACTTGTCTCCGACGTTAAAAATCGAAAGACGATGAGGAAGAGGAAGAAGAAGAAGGAGGGAGTGGCAAAAGACGCTGGGTGTTCGACTATGGACACCGCGGCATTCTTGCCACTCAGTGGCGCGGCCCCTAGGCCGGCGACACTTGCTATCACTGCTCAAGCCCCCGCTTCGGCCACCTTGTGGACAGTGGTGATGAAGCGCAAGGGGACTAAAAAAGTGGAGCAAGCTACGACGGCTCTCAAAGTAGAGGTTCCTGGAGGGCTCAAGACCAAGCCACCGCCACCGTCTCGGACCCGACTGCCTCCCAGCTTCGGTCCAAAGTCCCGAGGATGGAGGACGTGTGAATGTTAATTTTCCATGAACTGTTGTAAATGATAATTTATGTTTGTCTTGTTGCTTAACCGGAATTTGAAAGAAACCTGACTTTAAATCAATTTTGATCCTCTAAACTTCTGAATAAATCAGGTGTTCTACACTATTATTTAAAACTTTATAAAATACTACTAGACCGTATGAACCTTTCTTCTTTTTGTGAACTAAAAATGCAGGAGTAGCATAACTAGATTTTATATATTCTAAAATATTAGCTGCCCTTAATTTATCTAATTGTGTTTTTAATTCCTCGCGTTGTGTAGGTGAAACTCTATGAGGTGAACAAAATTTGAATTGTTTTGCGTTAAGCCTTAGTGTGATAAGACATGATTTTTTTGATAGTTAGAATCTTAGTTGGGATAACAATTCTCCAGTGTATGATATCATCTATTACATAAATCATAAATCAAGTTAGAATTCTCCGATTTCTGATTATTACAATTACAATATTTAATTATATAATTAAATAATAATTATATAAGAAAGAATTATATATATAAATTATATATATATATATTAGGGTGGTCTAAAAGTGACAAAAAAAACATTTTTTTTTTTAAGTTATACTCCTACACTTGAAAATTGTTCTACCTGGTTTTATATACAATTCTCAAGAAAAAAAAACACTAAAAATTAATTTTTGAGCCATCCCAAGCTATTTGAAAATTTTTAACTTAAAAAAAAAAATAAAATAATAATGAAAACTATTTTATGTATACGTTCTTATATTTTTTTATCAATAAGTCAAGCTATATTATATAAATCATTTTTAACATTTCTAATTTTACTTACTAAAGAATTAAAAAATTATATAAAAGTTGAATTGCTTTTTTTTAAAGTGTGTTTGCTGCAATCAGGGTAAATCTTCCGATGCTCAGAAACTACTTGTAAGAGAAACTGAAGTTGATCCTCATCATGGGTAATTTTGCGATTAAGGTCTTGGATCAATGAAACTCCTCTTTCTGCCACGTCATTGGTAACTCGAAGATTCTTAAAAACTTCCTCTGCTTTTAAGTATCTTTTAGACTTGGTCCAGTTTACCACGTCATTTTTCAAAAATTCATCGACACCAAATTCTGTGAAAATTTGTATTGTATTTTTGTTAGCTAAATCATGAAGCTGTAAATTTTCTACATCGTGTTGGTCAATTTTCGGTCTTACATTGGGAACTTCTGGAGAGGGGTTATTATTTATGGCGTAAATTATCTTACATTTGGTTTCAACAGGGACATTTTTGTCGAACAGACAAAGACCAACTAACTCATCTGACAAATACCATAAATGACCCATCATTTTTTTTACAGTGGCTTTTGAAATATGTGGATTATCATATTTTATTAAGGTCTTTATCAGTTGCAAGTCATTATTTGGAGCACATGCCGCCAAAGTTGCAGTGAACTAATTTTTTAAATGGACGGTTACAATGAAAACACATATTTCCTCGAGGCCCCTTTTTTCTTTGGTACTTAGATGAAATTGTCCACTAAACATAAATATTTTTAAACAGTAAATTACTTTTGACATCCAACGTGAATGACTAGTAGCACCTGGAGTCATAAATTTTATTCCTCTGGTGGGTTCTTCACCAAGAAATATAACTGATAATTCCAGCATCTCACGATAATCATCTCTTACTTGTTTTATTTTAAGCATTTCTTGGCAAAAATTAACTAGTTCATGTCGTATATTCTCTGTAATCCTTTGAATAATAGCCGAGTTTGCTATAACGTATGCAGAATGATCAATTTTAGACCAAGAAGATCGAAATCGTACAAACATTCGGTTATCAGGGCCTGTTGTCGCTGAAGGTAACACTGCTTGAAATGCTGCTCCAATGACTAATTCAAAAATATGATATCTGCATGCAAGCCAAAATAAGTTTTTTCCAAGTTTACGTTCTAATAGTACACATGACCCATTGTTTTTACCAGTATTCGAAAATGTTGTATCAAAACACATTGCAACGATATTTTTGTATAAATTCCATTCTTTTTCACTCAAACAATCGAAAACGGTTTGTGCCTGCATTTCTCCTGTTGAACAAGATAATTTTTTAATACTCAGTAATTTAATTTCATCTCCACCTGACACCAATACTGGGAGACAGTCCACATATTGTAAATGAGTGAGGTCCAACATCAGTTTTCCATCCCAGTGAACTGTTAAT